GGATAAGGCGAGACCTGGTCTGATTCCCATGAATCTCTGTAATATGTACTGTCATTTCATTTGAAAAAAAAAAAAAAAAACAGCTTCGAAAAGCACTCATTAACTGTTAAAAGAGCGGTTGTGCTGAGGAATTTAGAAAGAAGGAAAATTAACGTGAGTAGTAAAGGAAAGAACTGAGGCTCATGAAGTCCATGTAAATCAACTGGTTATGGACTTTAATGAAGTCAAAGATTAACCGAAAGCAGAGAAGCAAGCTAATGAGAAGCAGAAGGAAATCGTTGAAAACGTGCAGAGAAAATTTACTCGACGGGAGACTGCACAAAACTAAAAAAGAGAACGTGGAAGAAACATTAAACTTAAAGTAACTGAAATAGTAACAGATCTTGAGAATTTCAAGGGAAAATAAACAGATCTCTAAGCAGCAGAAGACAGGTCACAGACAGCATATGAGAGATACAACGTAGAGAGAAATACGTTTGATCAGGCCTTGCAAGAGACAAAGCAAGATATCGAGGAAGAAATGATTAACAAAATCGTTAACTGACCAAAGCTTTTCTCCTATTAGATGAATAGTAAAACTAAAAGCCAAGATCAAATTGTTACCATTAAAGATGAAAACATTGTCTATATCATAGAAGAGAAATGTGTGAGATGAAAAATTACAGTCCTTGCTCAAAACGCCCATTTTAAAACAGAGTGAAATTTCATTACCTGAACTCCTTTATGAGATGTATCACAGGGAAAAAAATAAAGAATCTCCTAAGAGGATGAGATAAAAATGAAAGTGGAAATATTGCACGTTATATTCAAATGCATTCTTGGAGAGTACGTATACCACCGATTTCTTTCTAAACAGAAGAATAGGGAAGCTTCCAAACCCCTTCAAGAGTACTGATAGGCAAAATCCGCACTTCCTCAGAATAGCGGCTCGTCGTGGATCGCTACGATTTCGGTGTCGATGGATTCCTCCCATCCGAGATTGAGCGGAAACCCCCGGAAACCCCTCACATTCTTGTCCCCGACGGCAGGGGGGCATGAAAGGTACCAGGGGAAATTGCGGGTGGATCAACAATAAAATATAATTAATAACATAATGATAATAATATCCCACTGTTCAGTTGACTGCAGGGGGCTGTAACCCTATGAGTCCCCCCCCCACCTATTGGGGAGGGGGGTGTCATAGCTGTTCCCATATTTCCACCCTGGAAAACAATGAATTCTCCACGACCTACATGTGGGGCGAACACGGAAATTCATAACCTAACCTATGTCACAGATTAGTAAGCTGCTATTGCAATACCCTTGCTATTGTCTAAAACTCTATTCCGCCGGACATATATGGTGGATCCTTTGTCTTCCAGGGCGGGGGTTGGGGGCAGTGCCTCGCAGGTGTGGGTGGGGAGTACATGGACTTATTCATAGTGTATTAACGCTATGGTTTCATATTTATTGTCTTCTATTCATATTTTACCCCACAATTTCCTTAGTACTTTCCATGCCCTCTCCTGCTATTGGAGCCAAGATTGTCGGAGGTTGGGGGTTTTGGCGCAATAATTTCGATTTATTCGGAAATTGGAGAATGATAGGAATCCATCGATACTAATGGCGTCGCGATCCATAGCAAGTCGCCATTCTAAAAAAAATCCTCTGAATTAAAGACTGTATCAATAAGTGTATTATGTAGTTTGTTAAAAAGATAATAATAATAAAGAGTTGAGAAACATATTACCAAGCATTCAATTTAGATTCACAGAGACCAGGTCATGTGTATGAATCTCTGCATTACGACAGTTAACGAGATAATACAACAGTGAAACCGGGTAGATTCGATATAGTTTGATTTCAAAGTGGCATTTGAAAATCTTATACGACTCTTATGGAAACCGCATCACACAGGTGATATTAAAGGAAATCTGGGATGGCTAAAGTATTTTCTGTATGGAAGACAAATGTACTGCCATCAGCGGTAAACATTCTACAAATTTAGCACCACAGAGATCAGGCTTGGTATCAGATATTGTATATTCAATTGGCCAGTATATTCAAGATGGCCGAGGACAGACCCAGTGAATATTCATATATACAGACATGCATATACACAGAAACATGAATATGTCTATCAGTCTAGAGATGCCTATCTACTGAACAGATAGATGAATAAGTGTATATCTATCTGATAGATA